AGTATTTTTAACGTTAGGTGGCAGATAGAGTGTGGGGCCGAAATATATTACACACTCGGTCTTCTTCTCTGAAAACCCCAAGGGACCCAAAGAAAATATTGTAGTGTTTAAAAATAAACTAAGCCTAATACTGTTGTCTTAAGACAAAAATAATTGATTTACAATATCACACTTTACCAGCAAAAGGCATTCCTGCTGTAACAGATAGCAGATTTTATTACTAGTTACGTATCCTAAAAAGATGGTTTGCTATGGCCATCATATTACGAGTCCAGTAATATTGTTGTTTAAGATGGCCATTGTAAACCAATGGATAATAGCATTTATTATGAGTCTTAAACAACAATATTACTGATGCTATTATCCATTGGTTTACTATGACCGTCATGTATAGGCTATTATCCATTGGTTTACTATGACCATCTTATTACGAGCCTTAAACAACAATATTACTGATGCTATTATCCATTGGTTTACAATGACCATCTTATTATGAGTCTTAAACAACAATATTACTGATGCTATCATTCGAGGCGGTTAACTATGACCATCATTCATTAAACAAGGTTTTGGCTAAAGTAGTGGATGATGTATTTTACTAGTTTTTATTTCTCACTAAACTGGCTTCAGTTAAATTGTCTTGAAATGTGAAGATTCGCGACTTTAAAAATCCAAAATAGTTTAAAAGTTTCTTTGTTGAATTTCGCACAAAGCTACTCGAGGGCTATGTGCGCTAATCGTCCGCAATTTAGCAGTGGTAGAGTAGACGGGAATCACTTAATCAACAACATCCACCGCCAACTAGTGGCTACTCTTTATCAACGAAAAGTGGGATTGGCCGTTATATTATAACGCTTCCACGACTGGAAGGACGAGCATGTTTGGTGGCGGATTTGAGGCCGCTTATTGCGAATCGAGCATCTTAAAACCACCAGGCTAGTGCTAGGACCAGTTTAGTTAGTAATCTAACAATAAGATTTCTGATTAATAAGTGATCTAAAGAAAACTGACTTTGTTGAATAAGCGTGTGAACTATGAATCTTATGAAGTAACTCACAAGACTTATGCTGAATAAAAAAACAAAACAAAAAACTTGTACTGATTGGGTGAAGGCTTAATGAAAATAATGTTTACCTCGATCCTCAGCTTATGAATGCTGTCTTTTATTCGAAGGTTCTGTTCATCATTAGTCTTCGAATAATAAACAAGGACTCTTCGGTAGCCGCGGCTCTATTTATATCCGAAATCGGTCAAGAGATGGAGCTATGAGCTAAATGTTTGTACTTGATAAAAAGAAAGAAAAAAAAAAGGAAAAAATAACTCTGAGCGATTCTATGAGCCACTGTACCGCGGCTGAAATAAAGCTTACTGAGGCCTAAGATAAACATTGTTGGAACAAGTAATAAAACACTTCTGTTGCTATAAAAATGTAGTTTTTGATAAGTTTCTAGCTGTTAGGAAATACATTTATTCTATCGTCAAATTAAGAAGTGGGTAATGAAGATAGAATCAAATTGTTTTCCTTTCTTTGTAATCGGTTAAGTAATTAGTGTATTTTTATTATCAAGTGATACACCAGAAACGAGAGCCCACGAGATTATTGGTGTGTTTTTGTTGTACGTCATATATTTTAGTCCTCAAATTCCGCCTACTTCTCTCTTCTTATACGTATCACTGTATCGTCAAATGTTGTGTTTAACATATAATACCCGTATTTATATTACTGTACAGTACTTTGATTGGGGATAATAATAATAAATCAGTCTTAAATGTATCATATATATTGATTTATTTACTCGTGGTTGTTTGATGTGTATTTACTGTATCTTATGAGCAAACAGTTAATTGGTGGAAATACGAAAATTTAACAGTCATTTGTTTGTTTTTGGAATTTCGCGATAAACTCATCGAGGGCTATCTGCGCTGGCCGTCCCTACTTTAGAAGTAACAGACAAGAAGAAATAAAGCTATTCAACACTACCCACTCCTTTTACCAACCAAAAATTGGGATGAACCGTAACGTTATAACGCGAGCATGTTTGGCGACAGGATTCGAACTCGCAGATTTAACAAACCCTCCTGATATTTCGTAATCTAAGTGTGTATTCTAGACTGATGTGAGATATTTTTAAAGTTCGCCCTTTTAATTTAAGGAATCGAAGCTCTCAGAATTAATTATTGATTCTCGTAAAAAAATCACTCTACCATGACCGGCGAGTGTAAACCTGCATATAGAAATTTTGAAGTGAAAAGAAGAATTATATTTCAACAACTTTTAGGAATTTATAATTTGGTCATTTTGTGTAATTTGCATATAAATTAAATACAAATCTTTACGTTTGTTTGTTAAAGAAACCAAACCACTTGATCATACGTATTTACCAGCAGACACGTGAACGACAGTTGTTTCAACATGACGATGTATCTGTTATCAAGTTTATTAATAACCAGTTAACAGAAATAAAATATATTTAATGATAATTTAATTCAACATTAAAATGCCCAAACAAAATTTTATTAAAATAAAACCTAGCCAGTTGTTTTCTTAGTGAAAAGCTACAAAATGGGCTATCTGCACCCTGCCCTTTTAAGTTTTCAGTGGCCTGAAGTGAGGGGACCCGTTCCTCTCACTTGGGCCCGGCATGGCCAGGTGGTTCGAGCGCTCGACTCGCAATCTGCGGGTTCGAATCCCCGTCACACCAAACATGCTCGCCTTTTCAGCCGTGGGGGCATTATAATGCAACGGTCAATCCCACTATTCGTTGGTAAAAGAGTAGCCCAAGAGTTGGCGTTGGGTGGCTGCCTTCCCTCTATTATATGACAGCTAAATTAGGGACGGCTAGCGCAGATAGTCCTCGTGTGGCTTTGCGCTAAATTCATAACAGACTAAACCAATCACCTCAGTTTTCAAACTGTCCCAATAAAAATGCATCAAATTAGGGAAATTACTCTCAGGAAAAATGCACAAACTTTAATCCAGAACCCAAAAGCTTCCAGGGTCCTATGGCGAACCCTGCCATAATAGATGTGCCTACGGGGTCCAATACATACACACACTTTTAATTTGCTTCCTATTAATTAGTAATATTCGTATTCTTTTATTTCGCGATATTAATCACTACCAGTGATCGTAAATTATCATGTAGGATATCATAATTATTTATAAAAACAACAACATTATGATATGTATATTTGCAAATGTTTTCATAACTTCAGTTCTCACCTTTTACTAATAACATTTATTTTGTTCGCACAAATACGAGTATGGTAATAACGATCCATGTAGGCTGTGGCCTTAAGAGTCGTTGTACAATTTTTTTAAATTTTCTTTCGTGAACAATGGCCCACTTTCCCGCCAATTAAAATATAATCAAAGGAGGTAGAAATCACGGCAACTTCGCGACATTATGAAGGGTGGATTCATAGCGACTTCATGCGATCATAATTAAAGGTGGTAGAATCAAAAAGTATAAAGAATAGACTCATGTGGGCTTCAAGGTACCATAATTAAATGACCAGAGACATAGTTAATTCATTTCCTTGAAGTGATATTTTGAACCTGAACAGCACCTTATGTGACACACGAGCTAAATTTAGAACTACTGACCAGAGAAAGGTCAACCAATAACCAGATTTGCGAGAATTCTTTTCAACATCATGTCGTAGCTCGATTCTTGGACCTTACCATATGTAGCCCATCACACTAACTATTAGGCTATGCCCCGATAATTAATACTTTAGATGAATTTAAAAATAAATTTTAAAACCACATGTGTTATTTAAATTAAATTCTAATGTTATTGCACCTTTACTATTTAACCCTAGACTGCCAATGTTAAATTTTCAATCATTAACATAGCGACCCCACGCTGGTGTTCTAGGGTTAATAACTTACAAATGTGATGTATGTGAATGTAACACACACATATATTGGGGCACATTTGTGCAACAAAAGTGATATAAAACTGTAATAAAAAAAAGAAGCCATTCATACAAAGATCTAACCCATGATTTATTACACAGCAGTAATATTTGTGAAAATAATCAGTATATTGTAAGTTTTTGTTTTATGGTGTTCATATACTACCTACTTACACTTGTTTATTAAATTAGCTATATTAATTACTGAGATGGTTTTGATCTATGTGAGTAACTTACTTTGATAAAAGTAATTGATAACAATAGAAAAATAAAATTGTTGCTTAGTAACAGCTTCTGTCAGTGACTAATATTGAAAATTGTGCTACAGTGATAAAGACACTTGGATTTTGAAAACGGTTATATCCAAAAACAAATCTAATACGGGACTATATTGGTATTTTTTCTTTTTATAAAATCTGTCAATTTTCCTAATTTATAATGGAAGAACAAATAAAAACATTTATGTACTTGTTAGAGAAATAAAGTAACAATAATAATGAATTTAAAGATAAGTAAAACCACTTCTGCTTTCAAATATCCTGTGGTCTCTGGGTGCAGGGATAAAAATTAATACTGTAACACTGTGAGAACATGACTCGTGAACAAAAATTACATGTGGAATAACACAAGGTTATTTTCAAAACTAGCAACTTGACATCGTTGGAACTTACTCAAGAGTTTTTGAAAATTGTCAACAGGTTTGATGTTCCTGCGGAATAAAGAGCCTACAATATTAGATATAAATGTGTCGTAAAAGTGTGGTTTTCGCCAGCAAAGACAATATAACATTTTGTGAGAATATTGTATTAATGCAGGGATATTTACATTATACATTTAGTTAGGTGTAGGAAAGAATAAAACGATATGAAAACTTTAGATAGTCAGCTTATCCTGTGTAACAAGTTATATATATGGAGCTTCCAGCATTTACTGATGTCTTTGATGAAGAGAGTTGTTACACGTTTTCCGTTTTTTTCATTTTAGCAACAATTTTTCTGGCATTTCTTTTGTCATTAAATTAAAACCAATCAAGTGAAATCATGAGACGACTTCAGTAGCGATGCTTTGTCATAATGTATTTATGTAACTGAGTCTAGTCTCGAGTTCTTTCCAGAAGCTAAAAGAAATTATAAATCAAAATATTTTATTGCAGAACAAAGTAAATCTCCAAACTTAACGAGAAACCAATAAAAGTTATTTGAATAATAAAAGATTTATTTTAGGATGTATAAAACATTTAAATGTATAAATTGTTGTCTAGTTTTACAGCAGCTTCCAAAGTAAGATTTATTTCACAAAAAACTACACTGTATGCAGCTTGAAAGACTTATTCATATATACTGAGCATTTAAGATTTATTATATAAGAACTTTTCTTATTATTAAAAACAACTTTATAGTAAGGGAATCCTTCACCAATTAATAATCCATTCCTACATATACAAATAAGGGATAAAGTCGCAGGAGTAATTTTTCAACTGCCCTTTATCTGGATACCACAAATGCTGTATGCTAATTTCTATAGCTAAGTAAGTTCTTAATAATATTTTTCTAAATATAACTGGAAAAAAAGTATTTGAGGAGTTGATTATACATTGCAGGGGTTTCATAACATGAAGATATCTAACTTCTCAAACATAGATATCCAAAAATCTTCTCATACCTACAAAAAGTAACACCAACATTCAATTTAGTGAATATTAGTTAAACAGTGTCATGCTATGTTATGCAAGATTTGCTCTTTAATATTTCAAAGCAAACTGTTCTCACTGTTACTTGCACTTTTCTATAATAACTTTGGTGAAAAATTGATTACATATGTTAGGAAAGAATAAAAAAATGCTTAAAGTTTTAAATCCAACTGACTAAAATCCAAAAAATAAATGGGAATTATGTAAACATATGGTTATATAAAAAAAAACGATTATATGTTAAACTCACCAAGTTTTACATCCACCTGTGGTTCCGAGCGGTCATTTGCTACTTCTGTTTTTAGTGAACACTTGGTATTACTTTCTCGCACTCTTTGTATAGACAGGAAAAACAACAAATCTCTGAAATAACCAATGTTGTAAAATTTGACAGTTATAATCTTCTTGTCAATAAAAAAAATAATTTTAAACAGTTCCAGGTAAGAACACTGAATTAGTATAGATACTAAATAAATAGAGTAGATAAAAGTATATTATTCTGGTCTTTGTCTGGAACACTTAAAAGAAAAAAAAATCTGTCGAACTATAAAAAGCCTTATATTTTTTTTACTAATGTATAATGCAACTATCAAATATTAACTTATTACTAACCATCATTAAATTACATGTTGGATAATCATATGTTTGGTGTTATTGTGAATTTTGAAAATTCCAGATAAAGAAAATGAATACATTAGTTTACCAAGTGAGAAAATTAACCTTGTACAAAATCAGTCATACTTGTTGACTCTGACTTTTAAATTACAGCATAAACCAAAATAACCAATACAGTTATAATGAAGTCACCAGATATACCAAAATCGAAAAATAACTATTCTAAAATGCACTTTTTTTTTTTCATGAAACAAAATGTACTAGGGAAAAAAAATTACCAAAAAAGTTTTCCAAACTCTTTAAAAAAATATTGAACCTTTTTATTAAATAATTCAACAGTGTAGCATTTCTCATTTTAATGAATGCTTATGCATAATTCGTAGCTTATTTATTTAAACTTGGAATCTGTGAAAGTTCCAAATAAGTACATGTATAATTACAGTACAATGGGACTTACAGATAAATAATCCATACTATAACAAATGTAAATTTCTTAATATCTTGAACAACTTTCCCAATTGAAAATAACATTAACTTCTATGGAAAACAAAACACGTTTGAACTCTAAAAAGTAACAGTTTTTGTAACTTATAAGGTACACAGTTTAGAAAATACTCTCTTGCCAAAAATAACATCACCAATAAACATAGCAAATTTATTCCAGGATAACAACAGTAGGGTTATCAAATCACTTTACATTTTTCTGATTCATCATTAATTTCAACAATTAAGTTATATACTTAATACATAGTATTAGACCTATAGAATAAAGGCTATACACTTCTTGAGATATTAGGCTAATCCAACCTTTGAAATATTTTTCTGTCCAACTTGTGTTTGGTGGGAGGTTATTCAAAATAATAATATTGGCCACATTTATCAAATTATTATTAATAATAAATCTATAAGTTTAACTAATAGTACTTTAAAAAAAACCTGAAAAGTCTACCTTCAAATATGCTCATATTAAAGGGTTGTTTATATTTGCCTTTACTTGATTTTTGATCCTACGTGTTTTTGTAACATAATGGATGTTATTAGTTATGATATCAAAACCAAAATACAGTACAGGTGCTTGCTTGTATGTTGTAGTTTACAATTTAAACTAAAGACTGAATCCCGACAACGATTTATCTATAACTTATAAGTTAATCATTACTATTACAGCTCTATGATACAACTAAATTATAAATTCGTTAGAATCAGAATTTATTTGGTGCAATTGTATCTTTAGCTTGTAAAATGTACTGCAAACGTCATTGTCCAGTAATAATATAAATTAGTAAATAATAATAATACTGTTCGCTAGGCCCAAGCAAATACTATACGAGTCATGATTGAGTTGGCTATTATAATACAACTATAACTTAGCTTATAAGATTTACAATTACTAAGTTAACTTTTTAATTTATTCATTAAGGAAATTACTACCTCACTGATTCAACATTAGGATGAAATGGATCAAATTTAATTTTTACTTGTTGAACCGGCCGTAAATGCAACTCTTTTACGGTTCTATACAATGCCATTTTCACAGGACTTTTTACAGAATTCACTGCTGCCATGTTTAATCCTACTCTCGTTCGCATGTGTTTATTATTGTATCTTACGCTCCACCTTTCGGAAAAGAAAAATATTATTCTTATAAATGTTGGCGTTTAATTTCGAGCTACATGAATTTGATCGTTACCAAATACGCTTCTAGTGATAAAAGTAATAAAGTATATATGGAAATTAAACGCATACGAACATAGAATATATGTTTTATTTCAATAATATATAGAACTTTCTATTTAATGATACATGCAAAAGAAGATTTATCGATATTTAATAACTCGTGTCATTGAGAATCTATTTTGATAATAATATTTTATGGCAGTGGTCATAATAGACAAAACAATGAACAGGGCATCAAAACCCCATGAAAGAGAAATATGACTTAGTTGTTGAATAATAAATAAAGCGAACCACTATTTAAATAATACAGCAATTGTGGAAACATACATAAAAACAAATTAAAATTGAATAGAGCTATTTAAACATTTGTTGTGAGTGTAAAACACTTTGTTACAACAGCGGAAGTCACGTGATGCTGCTGGCTCATGCGTGACTGAGTTTCTCGGATTATCAGGGAACTCCTCGAATTTTGGCGAAGCCTCTTTCTTAGTATGTAATCCTGGCGAGAAAAGCCAGCAGATACGATGATGTATGGATGATGAAGCGAACAGTAGTCATGGTGAGTTTCGGGTAATTTACGATTATGTTTCGAGCTAGTGTGTGTTTTGCACTCGTAGAAAGCAAAGTTATCGAGTTTAAAGTGGCGAGAAAAGTACTGGCAGTGGAATGGCTGTGTACTAAAAGTTTGTATCGAGAAAGAATAAACTGGTTTAATCAAGAAAGGACTTGTATCACTGAAGTTCCTCGGAAATAATTTCTACCAGAAATTAACAAACAAGCAGATACATAACAATTTAAATACACCATTTCGATTTACAGATTAAAGTATTTATCATAATCTATTCTGGTTGGAAAGTATATAGATGTGTCGTAATAGCATTCATTTACATATTTTTGTTTTGACCTCAAAACCGAGTCCGAGATTTATGTACACATATAAGACTGGGGAATGGAATGATTATTGTCTACGTATAGCCTACTTCAACTCCCGTGAATATCAAATAAGTAAGGTTCAATCTATCTATGTTTATCTCTATTTTATCGTTTTTTCATGTGTTATACAGTGAAACTGCCCTATTTGTTGTCGAGAGGGTATTAACCTACTTTATTCCTATACTTATGTATAGATTGTCATAAGTATAACAATGCCTCGTCTAGACTAAATGCTCTAAGTAACCTAAAAGGTCATAAGACTCATTTACAGCTATTCCTAATTTTAAGTTACTGATCAGAAGAAGTGCAGTCAGCCAGAAGCAATCTCAGCAAGGGCTCTTCCTAGGTCTTTGAACCAAATAATAGGATTGATTGATACTTTTATAATTCTCCCATTGTCGTAAGTGAGGGTTGTGTTCACGTCTCGAACTTTAGACCCATATATTTGCAGCCTGACACAATGCCACTATTGCGATAACAAAATTGTTAGAGGCAAGAATAGCTAGTCTTCGTTATTATCGTGAATATAAAAAAGCCACATTTTAAAGAACATAAAAGAGAAGTTCTTTTAAATATTTCAATTTGTTATTTGTCTTTAAGAGCAGTTATGTCACTCAAAATGCATCATCTACTTTTATTTGTTTTTGTCTTTTATCTCTTTGGTAGCATTTTGTGTTATTTATCATGATAATCGAATCCAAGAAGAGTAATTAAGGCTTAGGGTTTATTTAGCTCCATAAATTTAGAGACACTGGAAAAGTTTATATATTGTTACGTCTGTGTTCGTTTGTTAATTACCCGTAAAAATTCTTTCCGAAGAACTTCAGTGATACAAGTCCTTTCTTAATTAAAACTAGTTTATTCTTCCTCAATACATCTTTGCAGTACACTTAATTTCCACAGTCACTTTAAGTTAAACACACGCTATAATTCACAACGATTTACACACTTTACTTACGGCTTGACTCGATTATCTGTTTCTGTCTCCCTGTCTGCTATTCAATTATCTATCCCGTCACTTTATTTGCCGGCTTATATACTATAAGAGCGCGTGTCTTCTCATAATTGATGAAGTATATATATTGTTACGTCTGTGTTCGTTTGTTAATTACCCATAAAAATTCTTTTCGAAGAACTTCAGCGATACAAGTCCTTTCTTAATTAAAACTAGTTTATTCTTCCTCAATACAACTTTGCAATACAATTAATTTCTACAGTCACTTTAACTTAAACACATGCTATAATTCACAACGATTTACACACTTCACTTACGGCTTGACTCGATTATCTGTCTATATCTTCAATCTCTCTGTCTGCTATTCCAGTTCCGATTAATTGTTACGTTTTATCTGGTGCGCTTATATACAGGAATAGAGGGCGTCTAGCAAATATTGGATTATTCGTGATGTTCCTCGATCCTTCTAGATACTCATTACGTGTTACCAGCGTCATGTGACTTCCGCTGTCGTAACAATATGCTCTTGCTCCCTACTAGGTACTTATCAAAGATCGATTTTAGATTCAATATCCCTTCTCTTGAGGATATTCTGGGCTTAAATCCCAATTGAATGTCAGTTATCTCTGCCTCTAAAATGGTCATATTTCTCTCTATCAAATAATTGAATAAGTTGGTGAAATAGTGCTTTCCATCTAGAAGTTACAGTCCCACTGGAAGCCAAGACTTTGACTGGTAAAAAGTGCAGAAACTAGTAATAAAAAATTTTATTCTAAAAATTTCTGCATTGAACTACCTAAGGTATGTATGCGTCCGCCATTTAAGTGCAGTGTATGAGTGGTTGAATGCAGGAATAAATAATGCAGATTTTCCTCCCTTCCCAACTTCTTCCTAGTTCTCGATCCGTTTCCATCCCTACATTTCAACAATTTCAGATTAAAATTTTTGTTACTAGTGTGTTGTTACGTCTCCGTTCGTTCGTTAATTTT